TCCTCGCAATGGATCTGGAATAAATCAGCAATGGGTCAAACCGGTTCAGAAAGTGTTTGAATAACTGCCCATGGAGTGGCCAAAGGTTCTCCGTCAGCAGAGTATTTTGACTGCTGCTGTTCAATTACCATTTGAGAAAGCAGGACTGCTGGGAAAGACAACACAAGGTAAACCAACACTGGCTACAAAAGCAATCAGTGCACCAATATCCACAGTGCACAGCCCAGCCCTGAGCCCTTCTCAAAGCAGCTTCACCTCGTGCTGCTCCAGGCCAGCAGCGCTTCACACAGCCAAAGGTGAGGGGCTGTCAACAAATCAGGAGAGCCCGAAAGATCTTGTTTTATCTCTACCATAGAAACTGTCATTGACAAATCATTATTTTACATTTATAAAATATATGATGAGGAACATACCGCATGCATTCTAGACTTTCTGTCTGCACTGGAAATCAGCTGGGAAATTAGGAGGTATGGTGTAGAAACATCACTACGAATATACCGTATTACTGCTTTTGCAGCTGCAGTCCCAGAATTTGTTTCACAATAATTCAGTTACCCATGTTTAAACAACCAGCCAGCAGAAGAAAGGCTGATATATTTCATATGCATTCTCTTTGAGCAGGGGGGCCTTCACGTCTGGTCGAAAAATGTCAGGCTCATATGACACCACCAGAGTCAGGAGAGATGCCTAACCATAACTAAAAGCAGAATTTGGCCAACACAATTGGAAAATACCATCACAGTATATACAAATGCACACACGCAATCTCATATAAGAGCAGAGCACGAGACAGATTGGATTTTTTAATCACACCTTTAAAGAAAACAACTTTTCATGTACAAACCTCTCACTGTGCTCCTACGTGGATCCTTTATCCCACTGCAACATAAACAGACATACCATAGTCTGGAGTAGGGAAGAAAGATTTTCCTCTTTTTTTCCCCCCCATTGAGGATTTTAAACAAAATTTCAAAAAGCAAAAGAACAGATCTGGCCTGCCTTCCAAACTGACTTCAATAATAGATAAACAGTTTTAAGTCTACGACAGTCAGCAAGTACATACATAAGCTTTACATTAATACACTTACCTATATTTTTTAAGAGAGCTTCATTTTTCCTCGTTGTTCTTGGTTTCCTCTAGCATATAGTCCAGAAGAAAAAAACTAGACATTTTTCCTGATTCACCAAAACCACACTTTTACAATGAATATCCTAATGGTTTAGATATTATTCCTCAAAACTTCTTTTTCAAGAAAAACAGCTTTTCTGTCAGCTTCCTACAAGCTTTGTATCATCTTTCTAAGATCATTCTGTCAAACCAATCCTTCAGAAAGGAAGGATTTTAGCTTGCATCCTGCATGCAGTGCCTGACTTGAAGCTGCCATTCTCTTCTTCAAGTCTCTTATCTCTGGTGCACTTCCCAGTAACACCTGAGGGCTTTGGTACTTTGCAAAAACAGAGTGGATCTCAGTATTGGCAAAGACATAACCAAACACAAACATTTGAAGTTATTACTTAAAAACCAAGATTCTGAAACAGCATTTTTAACAAAATTAAACAGATAAACTTTGGTGCAAATTAAAAACAACTCTCTTGTATCTGAGCCCATAATGACTATTTTGAATACGGATTATTTACTGCTGGCAATAAAGAAGTTTTTTGGTAACTTTTCTGTTATTGGGAAGAGCTTGAATATAATCCAGTCAGAAAAAAAAAAAATAAAAATGCTGACTTTCCTAAATAGGGGCTGTGTTTTTGCAATAAAGAATACTGGTCAATATACAAGTGGAGGAAAACTGAACCAGATGTCAGTAATAGGACCACAGAACATTGCATTTGCCCAGAATCGCTATTTTAAACACATGATGTTGGTCTACTGGTTTGTGGGATAATACATTCTTGGCAGCCAGAAAGGGCTTCGATATGTTAGAAGGTTATCCTTCCTTGAGAAAAAAAAAAAAAAAAAAAAAAAAAAAAAAAAAAAAAAAAAAAAAAAAAAAAGAGGAGGAGAAGAGAGGTGAAGTTACCTATAGCAAAAAAAAAAAATCATGATTTAAGAAATCAGTTCAAAGACAAGCCAGCCACAAAACAGAAACCCTGGGGGTCATATTAACTTTTGTTTGCTGCTTTATCTCCTTATTATGAATACTTCATTCATGCTTCATTGCACTTTGCCTTCCTGGTTTTTTTAAGGATTCTTCCTTTCATTTGTCATTGTACTGTTTCTGGAGAGCTCACACCTTGCAGCCCCACCCAGGGCAGTCAGAGCTATGTGGGGGAACCACCCCCAGATACCCAGAGCACACAGAGCCAGTGCCAAGGGCTTTTCCTCTTTGCTCACTCCAGGACCCTGCTGCCCTCACTGGCATTACTGAAAGCAGCTGCCCCAAAATCTCTGCAGGCAGCCCTGGAAGCTGTAAGCACACAAGTTACAACCCAAGTCCCTCTCCACTGGCAATTTGGTAGTTGCCCATCTCTAAAATGTTGCCTAGCTCACAGTCACAGGGGTTTCTAAGTGGATTTTTGGTGTGTTTTTTCCCCCTTCTACTTAAAAAGTCTTCCCCTTCTATCTGTAAGTCTTCTTAATATTGAAATAAAACTTCAAAATATACTTTGTATGTTTGGCCAACAAACACTTCCCTGTTTTACCATTTAATATATTTAAAAATCAACTCTGCTCATTGTCTCAACAAACCCTCCTCTGAAAGATAATTAAAACCACTTCCCAATATACAACCAAAGTTTTATTTTTATAGTCTATCTTCAATTATGGCATAATCCTTTCTTTTTTTTTTTAACCAGTGAAATATACAAATCACACAAGACAGAAATATGTACATTAAATGTACAGAACAGAGGAAAGGACATAGAAGATTTACATATCTGAATGACAAGTAAAATATTTTACATTAAATAGGGTTTTAATAGCTAGGATCATGAGATTCAATTCTGCTCAGACAGAAGTCACTAAAAAGGAACATGAGGTGATTCAGCAAATGAAAAAAAAGATCATGGTTTTTGTACAATAAAAACCAAAGTGACATATTCAATGAATTAGTGCTTTATTTATTTATTTCTCTTACTTTAAAGATATTCTTTGCAAACATCTGAAGATGAGGGGTAAATACGTCCTTGTACAATAAATTAAGAGCAATAAAGCGCCATTAAGAAGCTGATAAGTGATCAAGATGAATTTAATGATACAGCTTAAAGGCTTGTGAAAAGTCAAGGCTTTAGTACAACTAGGCTAAAGTGAAAGGTTTTCCTCACTTGGTATCTGCAAAACCATTTTCTTTAACTTGTAGGATGGGACTGAGTTGGAAAGGGGCATCTGAACCAAAGATGAGATCCTGTATAACTACACAGCGTGGGGGGAACACATATTCTTTGACAAATAACAATTCTCTGTTCAAAAACTGAAAAGCAAGGGCTAAATGCAGCACATTTTAGAGTTGGAAGGTGTCTCCTCTCAGCAACAATCAATAATGCCCTTAATGTGAGAGTGGCATAGAAGTGATCTCCAGACTGGTATCAATTCAAGTGCAGAGTGCTGCCTCTACCAACCACCCAAGGAAGTCCTGAAATTGGGAAGAGGCTTACTTCTTTGTGATTATCCTTAAAACTTCTGAACATTATAAGTTCTTAAAAAAATAATAATTAAAAATAAAAACCCACCAAAAGCTTAGAATCAATCTAAACACCTGAAGAGATCTGAAAAAGAAAATAAGGGATGAACTGCCCCTTTAATTTAGATGTTTTATTTTTTTCTAAATCATTAAAATATATATGTACAAAAAGCTTTGAAGTATCAGACACCAGAGACCACAGTTCTCCCATATATATGTAACTGCTCGAGTATAGTCTGAACAGTTGTAGTGTATATCTGCAGTATATTATCTAAAGCATGTGTATTTAAGACATAGGATGATAAATTTGGTATTGCTGCAACGTTTCATTGAACTATAATAGTCAGTTAATGTTATTAAAATATGAAACTACTGTCTCCTTGAGTGAAAGCGTTCCCAAAATCTGCGAAAAGAATAAAAATCAGTCATTCCAAGAGCGGATATCTAATGATTTATTTTCTCACATAAAATTAGAGGAGTTATTTGTCAAGCTGTGTTTTGAAAGACGGACAGCTATTACACCATTTTAAGGCATTTTCAAATTTGGGGAACTCTCCTTTCCATGGGCTTTCCAGGCTGGGAAAGCAAAGCTGTTTGCAAGCATTGCCCAGCTCCAAGTGCTCCGGGCAGCCTGCCCCGGGCTGCTCCACACCCGGCAGCAGGGAAGCGCTGCTCCGGCACACAAGACACTCGAACGTCACCGTTAGCTGATGAGGCCAAGCTCTGCCTTGAAGAATATCTTTATTATTCACCAAGGCACTTTTTTTTTCTGGTTTTTTTCCTGTCTTGCTCGGTTCTGGAACCAGCCCTGGTGACTCAGGGATAGCGCAGTTGAAGCCTTTCTGATCCTTTGCTCTTTGCCCTCCGCTGACCCTTGGCGGGCAACCGACACCGGCACCTTGTGATGAACATACCCCTTATTTACAGAGCCCTACATGCACTGAACAGCTTTATACACCCTACTCTAGGAACTTCTAGTGTCTGAACCTAAAAGTCATCAACAGCTCTGTGTGTTCCTCACATCCATAAGGATTGTTCTAACATCCCAAGCACATTACGTGGTTGCTCTGTCTACTGCACATGTATTATGTTCCATGGATCTAAATTAGGATATGTCGGCTTTTCCCCTCAAACTACTCTATTGCTCGTAAGAAAAGTCAATTTTTTTTTTTAACTTTGTAAAATAAATATTCTCAGATTCTCCCCCATTATTGCCAAAAATATAAGCCTCACAAAGTTCTGGGATGGACGCAGAGAGGGTTTCCAGGCACTTCTCTTTGCAACCTTTATATTTTTTCTTTTTTCTTTCTTTTTTTTTTCCTTCCCCGTCCTTTTTTTTTTTTTTTTTTTTTTTTTTTTTTTTTTTAAATTTTTTTAAGAGAAGACAAAAACTCCTTGGACTCTATAAATAAAGTGGAGATAGTCCTGCGGTAAGGGAGAGGGGCCTGCACCCCTTGCTGGCAGGCGGCTGCAGTTCCTCCCACCTCGTCCGTGCCCTATTTGCACACAAACTGGTCCACGATCTCTGTGCACAACTTGCATTTCACGTAGCAGCACCAGTGGAACTTGCAGTGGCAGCGCTCTCGCTGCACCGTCTTGAACTGGTCGTAGCCCCGGCCGCAGCACATGAGTTCACAGCCGTCCATGCCCTCCGAGGTCTTATTGCACAGGCGGCCCTGGGTGCCCAGGGAGCCGGTGCTCTCGTTGCGCACGCAGTAGTCGGGGCTGGGGTCGATGTACACCAGGTCGTGGATGGTGGGGGCGTTGAAGCGGCTGTTCACCTGCACCAGCTTCCCCCGGCTGTTGAGCTTCATGGCGGCGGCGCTGTCGTATTTCTCCTTCAGGGCATCGCCCACCTTGCGGAAGTCGGCGAGCTGCAGCCAGCAGGTCTTCAGGCTGCAGGAGCCGGAGACGCCGTGGCACTTACAGGCCACGTCAGCCAGGTTGTACACCGTCTGCAGGAGTCGGGGAGAGAAGCAAGAACCGTGATCAACGACTAGCATGGCTGTGAGAGCATTTATACCCCTCATCTCCTGCCCTCTTCTTATTCCCACCAGCCCCTCCACAGTATTCACCTTAGCATCTTCTCCCCTCCTCCAATAAGGACAAATCAGCTGACACACACATGCTCCCCCAGCACCCCGAAGAGCCAGGAGGACGTGGAGAGGAGAGTCTCACCAGCCTCTCCCCACAATGGAGACAGCCACAACAGCACACGGAGCCCAGACAGCAGCATCACTCAGGCTGCACTCAAATTTTAGGAATTTGCTCTCACGCCAGCAAAGGATTTTGCTGTTTCATTGAGAAATGTAAAACATGCCCTTATTTTCTATCTGAGTTGCTCTCCCTATTGATCTCTGCTTGAGGCTGCAATTAGGGAAAGAGTTAAGATTCCTCTTGTTCCTGGCTCAGCTGCAGCTGATTGTCTACTCTTGGCTCAGCTTCCTCCTCCTATCCCAAATACTGCTCTGGAAGAGAGACTTCATCCAAGAAGAAACCCCCAAACACCTATGGGTGGGAGTCAGAGCTACATAGCAATATCCTCTTTACAAAGCTTTGGCAGGGAAACCTCAGTCATTTGCCCTGTACAAATAAAATAAGAGTCAGTGTTGACACTGCCCCAAAAATCCTGGGGTCTGACACATTAGATGATACTGTAGACAGCTTCCACCCAGCAGTTACAGAGTCTTAACACTGCCAAATGGCACTGCAAAGATGAGGCTGAGGAAGGAAAAAACTCCTCAAGTCTCTCAAGCAACTGTGAAAGTGTAATTTTTCTTCTCGCTAATAGTAATTGGCCTGTCCATTGCTTTCAGACACCCTCCTCTTACATTTAAATACTATTAATTTTCAATTATCTTTCATCCTTCTTCACCTTAGAACACAAGTGCAAAGTCTCAGCTGACTATTGCTGGCACTTCAAGCTGTAGGAAAATAATGATTTTGGCTCTTCATATTCGGACTATTAAAAAAAAGTTTACACCCATTCATTTAAAGCATTTTTGAGATTAAAGAAACCATGAAGACATGTTCAACCACAGAAGACCATGTTTTCTAATAGCATAGAGAAGGTTTTCACATACTCTTAAACCAGGCATAGAAAAAAGTCAGAACAATCCTGTGGCACAATTCCAGCCTGGGAAGCCCAGCACACCCCTCTTCCTTCCAACACACACTGTCCTGGTTGGAAATACCAACTAATAAAATTCTGTTCTACAGGGAATCCACAGCGAGCAGGGCTCTTTTCATGAAACAATGCAGAGGGAAGCACAACACGCTTTGGTCCCAGCCTCCCCAATGAGGAAAGCAACAGGACTGTCAGACAACCAAAAGCAACATCAACTCATGCACTCCCCACCCATCCACACCCTGTATTTGCCATTTTCTTGTTTCGTGCATGAAAACAAAGACAAGCCATGGGGGCTGCTCTGTGCCCTGCTGAACCACGTTTTTCCCAAAAAGAAGGGATGAGGAGGAGCGTGGAGGGACACACTGTGGTGCAGACACTCACTCTTCTGCCGGCCTCGTTGTTGTGCAGGTTCATCAGGATGCGGGCGCTCTCGTAGGAGCCTCGCTGGTAGACTCGCTCGCGCTCGCGCGCGTCCACGAACTCCTTGGCGAAGCGATATCCGTACTCGATGTTGTCCCCGCAGCCGCCCCACAGCCAGTCCCGGGGCAGGTCCTTGGGGCGCGCGGCGCGGCTGCAGCCGCAGGAGGACAGCTCGCCCTCCCGGCAGGCGCGGCTCATGGCGTTGACCACGCCGGCCGCGCTCACCGCGTAGGTGAACGCCGTCTCCCGGCTGCCTGCACAGAGACACAAGCGGGGTTAGGGGACAGCCACCACACCCGGCCGCCTGATGGGCCAGGAGGACAAAGGCTCTCCAGAGCCACCAAGTTCACTCGCATGGTAAAAAGGGTGAGCAACCCTGAACCACGCTGCCCAAAACATCCTCATTCTGAAAGAACCAAGGCAACCCAAGCCATGTGAGCGCACTCGGTTTGTCAAGAGCAGAAATCACTTCTCTTTCATGCTGGTGACTGCCTGGATGAAAGTGCAGAGTAGAGGTGGGTCAGGGCCATGAGGCCAGTGAGGCCAAAGCAGCCATGCCTGCATGTGAGGGGAGGGAAGGGTAATAGGCTCCCTGCCCATCAGAAGAAAGAGATGTTAAATACAACTTTTAAAAGTCTGGTTCTTAAATTACTACTTCTCAAACGTGATTGATGCACTTCACCCACTTATTCCAATTTATTTAAAGTTCAAGCAATTTACGAATTGCTAGTATCAAAAGAAATGCACAGCAGAATAACACACAACTTTTCACCCTACACATTAGCCAGACACTTCTGGAGGAGACTATTTAAAACTAACAACCTGTGCTGGTTATTATCCACCACTTCAGGTCTTGTGAATATGGCAAGGGAGCCCATGGACAATCATTTTTACAAATTACAGGGAAGAAAAAACCCTTGGCACGAGGTGGCCTTGAAAGTTTTCTCCTGCATCTGGTGCCCTTAAATGGAAATGGAAAACCTCAAGTTTCCAACTTTCGTTAAGAAAAAGTTACAATACCCATAATGTAAGACATGGCACATACCATCCTATTGACAGTATCGGATCCCACCTCATTAAGTGTCTGACTTCCCCAATCACTTTTCCAAGGGTGCCACAAGTTCTGAGTACAACCAGCAAAGCTTGCATATAAACAAACACTTGCACACACATAAAGACTTGCACCAGAGAGCAACACTTGAAGTTTGTTTTTCTCCTTGAGAGACAGCATCCCAATGGGTCGCTTCCAAGAAAGATTCTCAGAATGACTAAGAATAGACTAAATATTTTTTTTTGTTTATATGACTTAAGTCCTATTCCTAATCTTTAGTCTAATCAATACATCAAGCTAGCTTTTAATCTTGATTTTATGTGATTTTACTTAGGGAACATCATGGGCCTTTGAAAAACTAGGATGTTAAGAGGCCATGTTTTGGGCAAGTCACGTATATCTAGGCAGCAACATTTTTAGGCAAAATCTCTTTGAACAAGACGTATCATGACAGGTCAAATCTAATAGGAGCTTTCAAGCACTTCTGAAACATATATAATTTGGTTCATATTTAACATCAAGATGACACCATGATCAGAGCAGTTTTGTTAATACAACAGATGTCATCCACTGGATTAATTTTAGTAATAGATGCTGGGTTTAAATGGGAAAAATCAGAAATCTTATGTTAGGAAAGATGAGACTTGAGAAAGATCAGAAGTACTTTGCTACCTTACAATGGTCTATACTCACAGACACCTGCTCTTGGAAGTATGAATTGTGGGTATAAAGGGTTACAGGAATAGCATTTTCAGTTAAAAAAACATTGGCTTTATGTGGTGACTTAAGCCTTGCATCTACTGCAAACTATAGCAGAGGGAACCTCATACAGATTTTAATGTTCCCATTTGCTCTGTAACACACATTTTTGGATTAATTCCTTAAGCAAAATTTCCACTATACTGAGAGGAAAGAAACGTGGTCTGCTTTGGACCACAGGACTCGCCTCTTCCATTCCGTTTTTGCTCTTTTGCATGTTTAGTTAACTCATGCTTTCACATGGTTAACTCTGCCACTTATTGCGGGATCATAAAGCTGACTATTTTTGACTAGTTTTCATTATTAACCTGGAACAAATTTTAAAGAACTTACTCTCTGTGGGAAGGAGAAGAAAAGGCTTGGGTACAGAAAGGAGAGTTGCCCTGCAAGTTCCCTCCTTGAACATTTAGGCAAATTATAAAATAGCATCAGCTGCTGAAGTTCACTTCAAGCCAACACCGCCTCAAGTAATCGACCCCAGGAACACATTAAGAATGATGGCTCCACACGGATGAGTTACTCTGAGTTTTCTTTTTTTTCCTTCTTTTTTCAGTCTTTAGGCATAACTGTGCTTTCCTTCACTGTCAAACATATCTGTCTTTTCCCACAGTCCAGGATTTCTCTCTATTGTAGCCATGGCAAGCAAACACACATTCCAAACACGTTTGAGTCCCCTCTCTCCCATATATATAAAACATAGAAATGGAACTGTTCAATATACACACACTGTAGGAAGCCACCCACAGAGCAAGGCGCTGAGCTTTACACTTGATCTGAATAAGTCTGCGAGAACAGAACCTTTTTTTTTTTTTAATACCTGAACATAAGATACAAAATGTTCTTTGTTTTGCATTTTAAAAGCATTCTGCATCAGACTGAAGGCAGAATAAACTGGACCCCAACCACACGGAGCTGTAGGGGGAGGATCCAGTGATTTTGTTTCCTGTTAGCACTTAGCTCTGTGTGCAAAGCCCATGTGCAGCCTGCACAGGGCTGGCCACAAAGCCAGGAGATGGCAGGGAGCACCGTGGTCTGACCTGGGAACCAGCACCCAAGGAGAGCACTGCAGAACACGGGCCCTAAAATTTTACAGTTCAATAAGCCACAGAGCAAGTTTCCAAACGCAAGGGCAGGTTTATTTGTACAGCTTTAGCTAACTGCAGGGTAAATCCTGGAAGAAAGACTGTCCATTGACACACGGGGCCGTGGCTGGGCCGGCGGGCAGTGCCGTGCCCAGGAACTCTCTGGGGCGCAACCAAGGGCACGTGGCAAAATCTCCCAAACAATGTGCACTCAGAGCCTGCACCTCCTGCACTGCTGGGAGCAAGTGGTATCTGACAGCCCATCACACAGGGCATGGCAGGCTGAATCAATGGAATCAGGCTCTGAAAGTGTCCACTTTTCCCTCCACACAGAGGAGCACCAACTGGTCATTACCGAGGGTCAGCGTGAAATACTACAACTGCTACGCCTCCTTCCTGCTCTCAGTGAATATACTCTTCATACTCTAACTCCTGAATATGGCTATTAACCTTGCTTCCATCTGCAATTAGAATAAGTGGCTTAATTACATGATGAATTGCTGTGTAGACATCAGCTAATACAGTCATATCCCAGCAAAAGGGTGCGGCAAAGTTATTTAACTTGAAAGGAACCACCTTTAAATAGATCTGTCATACTTGAGGAGGGCAGAAGAAATATCGATTCCAGAGACAGACACCACAAATCATGGGCCCCATCCTGTACACTCCTTCACACCAACAGTTCCCCTGAGCTAATTTTCACTTACTGGGAAAATAAATAAGGGCTGAAGGATTAATGCCTAATTAATTTTATGACTTTTTTTAGATTACTAGAACAGAGAGGTGTACAGAAGAAGCTCGCTTTCATGTTTTTAGACTTTTGCTTGAGTAAGGTAAAAAAAAAACCAAATTCTATGGAGGGTTAATACTGTTCTTTAAAAAGCCTAGGGAAGGTTGTTTATCTAAAATCAAATGTTCCAATTCGGTACTTTCATGCAATAGATTGTTTTCTATTTGTCTGATAATCTCCAAATAAAAACTTCTTTTAACAAAAACTGAGAGACCAAATTTGAATTGATGCATTCCTTCAACTTTTAACTGGAGTCAGTCCATTTACAAACAAACCTATACTGAGACTGATTTTAAAACTTTTTCTAAAGCAGGACAGAAAAATGCTGCCATAAAAGCTTTACTTTACAACTCCAATTAAAAAGCAGCGCTGCATTTGCCAGTGTACCACTCTCTACTTAAAAGATCACAAGTGTCATCCAGAAAAGTAGGTGGTTTTCAGTTGATTACACAAAATCAGCAATTTGACTTGAGAAAGTCAGAGGAAGGTTTCACCATGGACCCTGTTTAACAGGACTGGTTAAAATTTTGCCAAGGACTTTAAAATACTAAGAGGTCCTTAAATGCCAAGAAAGGCAGGCAGCACATGAGCACTGGAGAAGGCCATTTCAAAAAGGATCTGATAGGGGAAGGGTTGGGTGTCCACCAAATTGTGATAAGATGTTAAACAAGAAGCTGTCTCTTACCAGCAACATGATTCCATTAAATGTCAGTTACAAGGACAATCACACATTTTACCATGATAGAACTGATCTCCTGACAATTACCCTGCTACAGCAATTTAAAAATAAATCTGTTTTCCTTAAAAAAAGAAAAAAAATACTGTATCTGGAAATAAGCAAGGAGGAATTGCCTATAAACACTAATCGACAGAGCAGCAATTTTCAGTTAACCTCTGGACCAAGAGCGATTTATTATCCAGCTGCTAACTTTGGAACTAGACATGGACATCTTTAATTTTACAAGACACTGCTGGTTTTAATTCCTGCAGGTTGCCTTCGTTTTGTCTCAGGTTTTCTAAAAAAGAGATTTCAGGGCCTTATTTTCCTTTCTCCCCTATTCCCATATGCAAATATATATTCCTACTTTGTTTTCCAAGACATATGGCTGGACAGTGGTGGGAAATCACCTCCAGCTAAAAATAATCCAGCTCCTTTGCCAACTTTTAGAAACACTTGATTGTATACAGTACTCAGTAAGAACCTGGCAAGAGATTCAAGTGCAGAACAGTGTGTGCCATACATATCCTTAGACAAGAGTTTAATCGTAAAGATGTTGCTTCCTACCTATCTGCATGACTCTGCCAAAAACAGAGTTGTTGTCCACAGTGCTGCAATTCCATCTTCTATGTCTGAATTGATACTGGCACTCCTTAATGCCCGTCTTTGCACCCTCTCCAATGAACTGCATATGGTCCTGATACAACTGGCAGAGTTTCTTCTGTCCTTGGGAAAGCCCTGCTAGCTGGCTACATAGTGGCTGGGCTCCTATAATATACACCTCTGACATCTGAACAGGGTTCATGGGGTTCATGGGGTTCATCCCTAAAGACCTGCACAAAGAAAGATTTGCATTAATAAACAGAAGACTTCAAAATAAAATAAAGCAATTAAAAAAAAATCTAGAAATCCCAGACAGAACTGTATTTTATACGTGAGTATACAACTCCTGCTTTTGTTAACAAGTGAGGAAAAACCCCAGACACTTTAATATGAAGCTTTTGTTTGAAGAACATGACAGAAGTTACTAGTTTCCACCCATGTGGTTATCACCATACATTAGAGACTGAAGTACGACACAGACTTGGAATACTAGGCAGTCTTTTACCAGCTTAAATTGACACAGTAAAAAAAACCAGAAGCTCCAAACAATTGCCAGGAAAATAAAGGCGAGGAAAATAAATAAAGCAAAAATTAAAAAAGCTCTCCAAATCCCAATTTGTCTTAACACATATTTTATATTTAAGTCTGGGTTTTTCAATCTGATCTACTATAAACAAATAGGGAAACCTTTAGCAAGCCAGAAGTTAGAAACTTGCTACAGACTACGTCTAGCTTCTTCCAAATGACAACGCAGAAACATACAGGCAAGTATATTCATTCTAAACAAAATCAACTTTGTTTTCTTAATTCTTAAAGTGCTCTTCACATGATACATTTCAATTAAAAAGTAGCTATAAATCCAAAAGGCATCACTGGAAAAAGCAGAGAAACACCTTTTTCAAGAACTCTCAACATTGTACACTATACAAATAATTTGCCAAAGCAGGAATTTAAACGTACTCCTTTGTAATGAAATATATTTGTAAACATTTCAGTTACAGAAAACTTCAAACTGAAACTTTAAGTTTTTCCTTGCAAATCAACATTTTCTCTTGTACATGCAAAACATTTAATGTAAGGAAGTTGAAATGTCTCTTTTAAAAGAAAAGCAATCACAGTAATTTAAAGATGATAAAATTCACAGAGAATCTACCAGACAGCATTCTAAAAACTGTGTTTTACAAGACGAGATGTTGCACATTTACCCTTATTCGACAGAACCGTTCCTTTTCCTACACAACATATTCCAACCAGCACACTTCTCCCCTGCTGCCTCGCTCCTGCCGCACTCCCGCAGAAACAAAGTACAGAAGCACAGAGACATTGAAGCAAGCAAATCTTGACACCCCCTTTCAAAACCAAGCCGATACGAGATGCTTACCACCAAGAGCTGGCTTCTATTACAACCTGGGTAAAAGAGGAGAAAACGGCCAGAGCCACTACGAGGTACTGAGAAGCCATTGTACTGCCAACTGTCCCCACAGCACCTCCGTGGATTAATACTGCACTGGATTTCTAGAGGGGGGAGAAAAAGGATCAGATTGTTTATTGCTTCTCAGACCATTTTCGAGCATTCAAGTTTAAACAACGGAAGTCTCCGGGCCCCTTTTAACTTGACTCTGACTCGCCGGCCCTTCTCCCCGCCGAGGCTCTGGTGCCAGACACAGGCACGTCGCAGCTCCCGCTGCACCGGGCAGAACCCACCCCGCCAGCGCCCACCCCCCCGCGGACACCGCCTTCCCGGGGCGCCCGCCCGTCCCTCTGCCCCGGCCCCGCCGCTCCGCACCCCGCCCGCGGCCGGACGGGACGGGACCGAGCGCAGCAGCGGCCCCGGACACGGGGCCCATCCCCGCGGCCCCGGACACGGGGCCCATCCCCGCGGCCCCGGACACGGGACCCATCCCCGCTGCTCCGGACACGGGACCCATCCCCGCGGCCCCGGACACGGGGCCCATCCCCGCGGCCCCGGACACGGGACCCATCCCCGCTGCTCCGGACACGGGGCCCATCCCCGCGGCCCCGGACACGGGACCCATCCCCGCTGCTCCGGACACGGGGCCCATCCCCGCTGCTCCGGACACGGGGCCCATCCCCGCTGCTCCGGACACGGGGCCCATCCCCGCGGCCCCGGACACGGGACCCATCCCCGCGGCCCCGGACACGGGACCCATCCCCGCGGCCCCGGACACGGGACCCATCCCAGCTGCCCCGGGGCTACAGCGACCCGCGGTCCCCGGGCCGGGCATTACCCCATGGCTGCCCGCGCCGGGGACACGAAAGGCTCACGGCTGGCTAAAGGCGGCTTCAGGTTTGCAAAGCGAGCCCGACAGGGAGGGGGGCCGGTGCCTCGAGTGGTCCGTTCCGCGGGGGACCCGAGGGCTCCCGCCCGGGGATGATGCGGCCGGTCCTCCGTCGTCCCCTAAAACATCGCGGCGCAGCCTCGGGGCTCCCGCCCTCCGCGATCGCCGAGGCAGCGGCGAGCTCCGCGCTGGCCCCGCGGTGACTGCCCCGACGGCAGCCCCAGAGCCGGTATCGGCCCGGGGAGGTACCAGGAGCGACAAGGAGCAGCTCTGCGTCCCGACCCGGACCCTGCAACAACCGGGCTGCCGTCTTGGAAGTCAAACGCCTCCCGCGACAGGTCCCGCGATCACCGTCTGGTCCTCACACGGGACTCTCTCACTCTCTCCCTAGAGCCATTCCCGGGGTTTATTTCCCCTCCCCTCGGAAGGGAAAAAAAAAAAAAAAAAAAAAAAAAAAAAAAAAAAAAAAAAAAAAAAAAAAAGAAGAAAGAAAGAAAAAAAAAGACATTTCGACACTTGGGGGCTCCCTATTCCCTATTCATTCTCCAAAGGCCCTTAACGCTGAATTGAAGGTGGTTTTAATTCTAATTTATTTCTGTTTGTGGAGGGCCGGGAGGAGCGAAGCGCTGGCAGCGGGGCCGGACACGGAACCTGCCCGGGCACACGCGGGGAAGCTGCCGCAGCGTGGGGACCCCCGTGCGCCGCTCCCCGACACTGCTCCGGGGCTGCAGAACGGGCGAAACCTCCCCGCGCCGTGCTGGGTTAAACATCCCCTGCCGGGCCAGATGAACCCCCCCAAGTCCCCGCTGCTGGGGGTGGGCAAATGGGGGCCGGTCTCCTGCAGCAGAAAGAGCCCGCCCGCCCCACAGGGACTCAGTCCCGGCAAAGGTGCGAACGCCGAGGGCGTGAAGAGCGAGGGACCAGGCGAAGCGAGGTGTGCGCGGGGCAAGCCGCGACACCCAACAGCGCGCATCGCGCCGGGCTCTGTTCATCTTGTTACTTCTTGAAATAATGACAGTCAGAAAGAAGCGCCACGAAAGCGCCCGAGCCCAGAGGAGGTCGGAGACGCCGGTGCCCATGCGGGACGCCGACAGCTGTGCAGGAACGCGGCCCAGCAGACAGCGCGGGCACGCCGAGCTGCCGGAGGGAGCGGCGGGCTGGGACAGCGGCGCGATGGAGCGCTGTCCCCGCTGCAAGACGCGGTCGGCAGGGCCGAAGGCTGCAGGGCCCGGGTGCCCCCGAGCTCCCGTCGCTGCGCCCGAGCCCCAGCCCGGCGGCGGCGCCCCGGGAGCGGTGGCGGCCCGCTCCCAACAGGGGGCGGCCTCGCTCGGGGCTCGGCCCCTCCGACGGCTCCTCCGCGCCCCGGCCCCGCCGCCGTCCCCTCCTCGGCTGCGCGCCCCGCGCCCGGCAGCGCGGCGGAGGAGGCACCTGCGCCCGGGGCCGCGGGCGAGCCCGGCCCTTCTGCACGCAGCAGCTGACAAGGTACCACCAGAAACAGCACCAAAAAAAAAAAAAAAAAAAAAAAAAAAAAAAAAA